GTCACTAAAATGACTGTTGAGGCCCCTTTCTCTTTCCAAAAATGTCTATAAACACACACACAAAGCCACACACGCAAACGCACACACACACCAAAGACATGTCATCCAGACTGACAACAAATGGTTTCTACAGGTTAAAGGCGATGGTGTTCACACCTCTTCCACATGCTTTATTGATAACAGTAGGATTTACAGAGAGAGACTCTGGGGTCCTCCTGCTGTTAGCGTAGCGCCCAGCAGGCTATATTTAGCCTAGCAGCAGTGATGACTCACTTCCTTCCTCACTACAAAGGCACTTCCTCTCAATAACACAGCTAACCCTTGCACCTTAACCAACTAATACACAGACTTATTTAACTATCTTGGTTCCTGGAGCATCGTAGGGCCTGTTCTAAAGTTTTCCAACATTGCCAGTAATGCATTTTACAAGTATTGTAGAAACGCCAGGGCAGGGAAGGGAAGCGAACCCGGGTCCCTGGCATGAAAGGCAAACACCCTACGTATCACGGCAATAGGGATAACCCACTTGGTGGGAATTGTAACGTGGCTCATATAGCGAGGATCACTACACTGCCCTCCAAAAGAGAAGGCACGTCCCAGTGTTTTGACTACTCAGCCCACTCGCACGTTCCGGGCCGTGCGTTCCGATGTCTCCACGGCTGCCATCCCACTTCTGACACAAACGTAGCGGGCAGGGAAGCAAACCCGGGTTGCTGGACTGAAAGGCAAACACACTACGCATCGCACCAATAGGGTTAACTCACTTGGTGGGAATTGTAACGTGGCTCATATAGCGAGGATCGCTAAAGTATTTAAGGGACCAATCCTGGATATGAGTGAGAGAGAGTGAGAGAGAGGAGCGAGAGAGTGAGAGAGAGAGCGAGAGAGAGGAGAGGGAGAGAGAGAGAGAGAGAGAGAACTACCACTCATTTCAGAATACTTTTATTCACACTAGACTGTACGTCTGAACACTGGGTAAATAATAATCTAGGAAGACTAGAGCACTGTTAAAATTCATAAGCCTGGCATACTGTCAAAGACATGTAAAGATATTGGCACTGCCAGCACAGTGTTTAATCAGTCCAGACTCCGACCTTTATGTAAACTCGACATACACACACACTGTCTGTACTGCAACG